ACACTACGGACACTTTAGACACGCCAATCAGCCTACCGTGCATGTCTTTGGACTGGGGGAGGAAACCAGAGTACCCGGAGGAAACCCCCGCAGCACGGGGAGAACATGCAAACTCCACACACACACTCCATGAATGAAAAGGTAGGAAAATGATTGCATTTGCATTTTAAAACTTTAATAAAAAAAAGAGAGCCTTCCGTGCTAATATGACAAAAACAAACAAACAACAATAACAAAAAAGGTCATATAATATGCACATTGTATAACTCACCTAGCTACCATGAAGGTGGTCATTCCTGTGTTCCCAGGGTCTTTTGTTTCCCAGGTCAATATCCTGTTAATATACATTAAGTGAACTTTCCCAAAGGTTTTATATCGGTAAGACTCATTTTCCCAGGGCCATATTAACTTGATTACCTTATAACTTTAAACGCCAAAGACACATTGAAATGTGCCCTCCCCCGAGTCAATAATCACACCAAGGTCATTTACTGCTGCATGTGATGAAACATAAAGTCCACCCAGAGTAGCTGTATGATCAGAACGCTTACTTCTAGCTACACGTGGTCCTAGTACAAGTACTTCTGTCTTATCAGAATTAAGTAACAGGAAGTTAATAAACATCCAACAACTAATGTCCTTTACACATTCCTCAACTTTATTAAGTTGCTGTGTTGTCTGGCTTCGCTGAAACGTACAGCTGTGCATCATCAGCATAACAGTGGAAGTAGATCATTTACCACTTGAACCAGCGCTGTTACTGTGCTATGATGAGGGAGATCAAAGGGGAGATTTGATATCAGCCTATAATATATGATAATACTATAATTATAGTAATCGTATTATTATTATTGATAATACTGATTAAAATGATTTTTCGACATTTAGTCTAACAATGGCAAAGAGGAGGCAGCTTGACTGAGCTTTGGCTTAGGAGATTGTATGGACTGTATGGAATCATAGTTAGATTTTGGGATTGGTCTACAGTGTCAGATGCAGCTGAGCAAAGCGAAATTAACCGATTTAAATGTAAATATTGATGTTATGTCAATATATACATATTGGTAGGCTTCTAATAGTCACTCACTAAAGACGTTTATTTTTCATCGCGCTTTGTCCTCCATGTTGGATTTTCTTGCTGGCATCCCAAGCTGTGTCAGGAATGGTTATTAGAATAAACCAACAAATAAAACTAAACAAAAAAGGGGTTTGATTTCACTCTGGACTTATGTGGCGGGGAGAGGTGTGTGTGATTTGTGTGTGTGTGTGTGTGTGTGTGTGTGTGTGTGGGTGGGGTGGGTGGGGGTCGTTTATGGGGGCGATTTTGGGATCTCCAAAGCCAACGGATAGGTCTAAGGCTAAAAACTGTTAGCTTTCATGGACTTTACTTGGCTAAAATTGCTGTAGTTTTTCCACTAACAATAACCAGATTTTCATCAAAAGGCTACAACCAAAATGAAATCCAAATTAGCTGTTAAAATGACCAAAGTGACCTTGTAGCTCCAGTGTAAAAGTTAAGAAGCGAATGTCTAACACAGAAAAGCAGTCACTACAATTGTGGTAAGAGGAACATTGTGCAATTGCTTTTTTGCCATTTCATTCCTTGAAGCTATTGCCAATAGCTAAATGAGCAAACAAATGCAAAGTTATGTTGAAATACAAAGATAATCATTTGGACACAATGAGACAATAACCCTTACAATGGATGACTGCTCGAACACTAAATGGTGTCTGTGAAACCTGCAGGCCATTTGACTTCTGAACGACGAGATGTTTAAAAGTCCCAGCAGCTTCAGCAGTTTCTACGTGCATAGCACAGCTTATTCCTGACAGTTAATCCCTATGACCTTTGTAACTTGTGAAAAATGTGAAAGAGCTTAAAACCCTGGGCGAATTTGTCCATTATCAGATCATGTTGGCCAAACACGATTAACCTCCGCTGTGGTTAAACAGGACCCTGGCTCTGTGTGACTCTCTCCAACCCTGCTCGAGGTCAGATGCAATCCACGTCCTGTCATGTTCCATTTCCAGAGAGAAATTCCCAGAGGCTTGAGCTTGTTCATTCCAGCTATGACAGATATGTGGTCCACGTTCTGGCTGAAAGGCCGTGCCACTATTTATAGCTGATCAGGACACACCTAGCGACACCCAGGCAAAGTCACTCTGAAAGGAATTTAAAACCGTTTTTAATCCATAACCGTAGAGCCATTTATGGAGGTCTTGTGGCAAACCTCATGAGTGATTCTTTTAATGGAAACTATTCACGATTGTTTGGGTGTTTTTCCTTTTTTATAGAAGTACCCACACATTCACAACGTTCATTCCTATTAATTCAGCTGACCTTTGGCCTTGTCAAAAGGTGTACATTCTGCTTTTGTGTCATGAATACAACATTGATTAGCATTGACTTCTGAAGGTCTTTGGGCTTTGTAAATAGTTTTTACATATACACCGATCAGCCATAAGATTCAAACTACCTGCCTGATATTGTGTAGGTCCTGCTCATGCCTCCAAAACAGCTCTGACCCATCGAGGCCTGGACACAAGGTGTGCTGAGGTATCTGACACCAAGACCTTTGCAGCAGATCCTGTAAGTTGCGAGGAAAGGCCTGCATGGATCGGACTTGCTTGTCCAGAACATCCCAGAGAACGCAAACCACTTTCCTCAAACCATTCCTGAACATTTTTTTTGCACCGCAGCAGAGCGAAGAGGCCACTGCAATTAGGGAATACCGTTGCCATGAAAGAGCTTTACTTGGTCTGCAACAATGTTTAGGTAGGTGCTACGTGTCAAAGTAACATCCACATTAATGTCAGGACCCAAGGTTTCTCCTCAGAACATGACAACTCACATAAACCTACATAGACACTTATAATATCTTATTCCAATGGGATTGATGTTATCCAGTCCTTTCAGGATTTCACGATTTTGCCATCGCAGTAACGAACACGAAATCAAGCGCACTCCGCTATATTCGGAGGAGCTTGCAAATTTTTCGAAATTACCGCAGATTTTCCACAGATTTAGGCCGATACACGTCAAGTGACGTCATCACAGCACGCATTCCGCCGAAGTCCTCTTCGATTCACGTGCGTCGAAGGAGTACAGCAAAGCGGTCACATTTACCAACAAACATCACTGCGAAAGACAATTTCGTGCAATTGTCATTTCGCCAAGTTACTGATGTTTATTGACATAACATTGTCTTTATTTTGGCAATAAAGTCAATTAAGTAGATTTTGTCTGGAAAATGTATGTTTATTTCAGTTGCCATGAAGGGTTTGTATGGACATCATATAGACATAGCCTTATGAAGACTGCCTTTAAGTAAAGTAAACAAAATTACAATTCAAGAAACAGGAGATCGATGAGTGGAAACTGAAGGTATTTATTAATTCCCCCCCTCCCCTCATACTAAATATCACATTTGTAAAAACAAAAAATGAAGAAAAAAAAAAAAAAAAAAAAAAGAAAAAAAAAGTGTGTTAAAATTTAGTTAAAAGCTGAAAACATTACTGCTACAATTTCAAAAAGTATTTACACAACTGCATACCGCACATCATTTTTAGCGTAATTATTATTGTTTTATATTACTAAACAGCATTATATTGTGGCATAGAAAAAAAACAATAAAGAGGTAGGGTCAATATCTGCTTCATATCTGATGTTCAGAATCGACTAAGAAAACGCACCATTCCCACCAAACAGACGGGACACACGGATTATACAAAGACTGACAAGACGAACAAACAAACAAACAAACAACACAGAGCAGTCACTTATGTGAGACAAGGAGAGGGTTAGAGACGTTAGAGGGAGAGAGTGAGAAACAAGAGAGGGCGCAAAAAAAAGAAAAAAGAAAAAAGGGCACCGGAGTCCGAGTGTGTGTTAAGGCAGTGTGAACAACTCCATGCCTCGATTCACTCAGCTTTACGTCTCATGAAACACACACGTAGACACACACACACACACACACACACACACACAAACCTCTCAGTTTCACCGATTTAGTGTGAGGAAGAAAGTCCAGCAACACGTTCTACGAAGGCCACATACAGTACTGTGCAAAAGAACTGCTGGAGAGCGACGACGCCTTCAAAAGAATGAAATGAAAATGTTTCTACGTTCGAAAAGAAACACTGTAAAGCGCAGTAAACAGTAGCAAATGGAACAGTCGATATTTGGCGCGGGAAAGAAATACAAGAAAAATAGTAGTCAGGAACAATTAGTGCAGTTTGCTAAGGAAATGAGCGGTAAGTGTTATCGAACATGTCGCAGAACCAGTCGCGGTTCTTCTGGAGATTTTGACTGTCGCACTCGCTTCTTAGGATTTCTGCAGAAAAACCCAGCAGCCATCATGGCGGTTTTTTTTTTTTTTTTACTCTGAAAAGTGTTCTTACGGCTTTCTTTAAACGACATGCAAACATTTCATCTTATCTTGTGCTGGAAAACGAATGTTTGGGAATCGAAAATGGTCTGTACTGACTCGATAACGTAGTAAAAAAGAAATCAAATAATCTATTACAAAGTTATTGCAGAAAAAAAATTTAATAAATAAATAGGGTGCGCAAAACTTTTGCACAGTACTGTATATAATAAACAATGAACATGTTCATAACAAGTCCTAATGCATTCATAAGGCGTGTTCAAGAACAATTGTGGATGGAAACGCGTTACAGTGTTCGTTACGCATCACCAACGGTTATACATAGTGTTTAAAACATTTCTTGTTTATTACTGCATATTACAAGTCTATTACTACCTGCTGTATCGATTTATTATTTAGTGTTTTACCTCGAGCAAGAATTACAGTCGCATTTCAGGCTGTGTGAAAATGTAACTCACTGAAACAAGAGTATTTTATATATATAAATAAATTAATATTACATTTACGGTATTTGGCAGACGCCCTTATCCCAAGCGACATACATTTATCTCATTTATAAAACTGAGCGGTTGAGGGTTAAGGGCCTTGCTCAAGGGCCCAACAGAGGTAGCTTGTGGTACTGGGATTTGAACTCAAGACCTTACAATGAGAAGACCAATGTCCTAACCACTGAGCTACCACTTCCCATTATAATAATAATAATAATAATAATAATAATAATAATAATAATAATAATAATAATAATAATAATAATAATAAAACAGGACAAGTTTCAATATGTATAATCTAGAACTAGATATAATATAGTATACAAGCTGGGTTTCTTTGACATTGTCATGTTCACTTCTTAGACATTGCAATAAAGTGCATTCTCATAAACAAGAAAAAGAGGAAGAAGAAGAAGAAGAGGGCCTTATAAATGCAGAACCTGATGAATATATTCGTAGGCGTACCATTACAGACGTGGCCTTATGGAAAGTGCTGCTTTCTGTGCAGCATTAATACACTGATTTGGTGAGAACGGCAATCTTCGGTGCTTATTAACCCCCCCCCCCCCCAATTAAAAGCAAAAGCGATACGGAGAACCACGTGCGTATTTGGTGTCGTTCAGTGCACGTAACTGCGGGCGGCTAGTGCGAGAATAATCGTTCAACGAGTGACGGTGAAGAACAAATCCGATGAGAAAATGATAACTGATGACTGATGATGCTGCCTTCTACGTATTCCAATGCAGTGTTATCGAGTATATTTCATAGCGCTCCTGTGAGAGGTGCATAGGCTGTACTGAATGTATTAGTTATTAATAATATTTAAAAAGCTGCATAAAAGGAAATCGTTTCTGACCTGGAGATGATTCAATAACCTGATATGAATTTTCCTTCCTTTTTTAAAATGTTTTTTTTTGTACTTTTTTTTTTTTTTTTTTAAAGCAATTCATCAATAAAATACAACAAAAAAATCTACAATCTAAAAGGGAAAAAAAAACAAAACACATCACAACAAGTCCTGTTGGAAATACACTAACGGTCTTTTATAAGCACCAATAGCATTTTTTGGCATTTTGTGAAAATTAGACAGTGGTGGAAAGCAGATTATGGAATACTAGATTTTAAATGACTATTCGATGAACTTGATGTATTTACACTTTGTGAGCAACTCCTGAGTTTAAAAACAACAACAACAACAAAACCCCGGACGACTTTGCTAATTTAGTGCTAATTCTCCTCAGCTGAAGTCATTTATTCAGTTTACCGATGTTCTTTCCACCACTGCACAACACTTCGATGTCAAAATGTTTTGGTAGATTGAAACGAAAACCTAAAAAGATGTGAAAACCCTGATTTAGCATCACCGTGATCTAAAAAAAAATAAAAAATCCAAAAAATAAAACAAACGTCACTGTGACCGCTCAGTCCGTGAAGGATGGAGGTTGTTTGCGCTGGCCGGATGGACACAGAAGACGTACTGGGAATGGGGTGGAGCGTGACAGGGAAACGGGTGGGGGTTTGATGGGAAGGAGGGGATGGGATTGGTCCGTGGATGGTGCGGGCGCTGTCGTGATTAGTGCAAGCCGTTCAGGATGTGTTTCTGGTGAATGTCGAGCGTGCCGCTGTGGTCCTGGTTGTGCTGCGCCGGGCTAAGGTCCTCCTCCCAGAGCTGGGCGTTCTTCCGGATCTCGTCCAGAGAGTACTCCTTCAGGATGGTCCCGTTCTCGAACACCACGACGAGCATGTCCTGCGCCACACACACAAAAAAAGAATGTTTGTACGTGGCGGTGTTGGTAAATCCATCGCCATCTACTGTACTGGGGCGGTATTGCCAGAAATGAAGCATCATTTGCGGTGAAACCACAATACAGATTTCAAAATTTACAAATTTAGAACTGTTTAATGTCAGATTCACTACCATTTCTCCATTTAGTACATTTTTTATTATTAGAGCAAACAAAAAAAAGAGGGTTTTTCCTTCATTTGTAGAATAGCACTATTCTGTGAGAAGCTTGAAACTAAAGCCATTTTGCCAGCAAACTTCACTAATCTGTGATATTTTTTCTTCTCACCTCCTCTGGTTTGCCTGCACCCCGTTCCACTGTCTCTATAAACCCATCCGAGTTTCTCTTCAGTGACAGACAACCGCGCTTCGATCCCTTGGACGGGTCCGTTACTGGCTGTTTATATACGTCCATCTACACCCACACACACACACACACACACACACACACACACACTTTTACACATAAAACTCATGTATGACAGTAGGGAAAAAAAAACAACCCCAAAACCAAACAACTAACTCACCCCCTTCCCGCTACTCTCCACGTAGCTGCATTTAAACGCACAGTTCAGAGTGTCTCTGTTGATCTTCTGCAGCAGGGCGCTTCCACAGCCGAAGAATACGTTCTCGGCGCTCCAGCCCTCGTCACTGAGCTTCTTCAGGATCTAGGGAACAGCAACGCAGAATTCAATACGAGTCATGCTTTCTAGTCTTATGTCTAACCGTTACGGTTTCTACAGTACATGTTTTGCACAGTTAAATCCTGAAAATCTGAAAAGTGAAACCACGTCGAGTTATTGCATCAGAAAATGTACCATCCAATCAGGGTCGAGTATGC